GGGGTGGCATTTTCGGTCAACTGCTTATTTGTTGGGTTGTTTTTTTTTTTTTTTGGGGGGGGGGGGTGGGGGTTTGTTTGTGTTGAGGCGGCGGCAAAATGCTTGGCAAGCCCCGGGACACATACTATAACTACGACACTGCCTCGATGCACTCCATCCTACATCAGCTGACATGTAATCTAACCATTTTATGTCCATGACGGTCCACATGAAAATTCTAAACAGTGGTTCTCAACCTTCATAATGCCGCGACCCTTTAATACAGTTCCTCATGTTGTGGTGAACCCCCCAACCATAAAATTAGTTTCGTTGCTGCTTCATTAATATGTGTTTTTTCCGGTGGTCTTATTAGGCGACCCTTGTGTAAAGGTCGTTCGACCCCACAAAGGGTTGAGAACCGCTGTTCTATACGTTTTCTCATGCCTCGTGTTCTCTTATTATTTCTTTTTTTAACGCAGCTTCACACCAAAACACGTTTTTCTCAGGCGGATTTGAACATATGTCAGGATTATGCCATGCTTTGATCGGGTAATTTGTTAACCGGCATGGCGTGGTACAATGCGGGTTTAAGGAAACAAAATGCGCATCTCTTCGTTTTTGAGTTGTCTGCTAAAGATGAATACAATTCCTCAATCATTTTTATTTTAAATGTCGGAGCACGGTAACCTGAATTGAAAAAAATATAAAAAATCCATCGTTGTCTGCTGATTAATCTTTTAATGTAGCTACTGTCTATTTCGCCTACCCCCCCCCCCTTTTTTTCCTCCAAATCACCACGCCACGCACACAAACATACTCACGCATAACATGACGCCTAAACTTTAAACCCGAAACACCCGGCTCGCGATCACTGGGGAAAGAGAAGGTCACTCGTGGCCGACCCATTCCCCTCCCCCCCTCGCTCCCTCTTTCCCCTTATCCCATTCGCTAATGAAACTCAACCTTACCTTCTCCCCCCCCCCATACCTCACCCATCGACGTCCAAAGATCACCTGTAGTCCCGCACACCATGTATGAAAGGTATTCAGCCCGTTACAGAGTTACACCCACACACACTCCTCCCTCCCCC